GTCCCCGTGCTGGGGTGGCTGTCCCCAGTGTCCCCACACCAGGCAGCTCTCCCCGGTGTCCCCGTGCTGGGGTGGCTGTCCCCAGTGTCCCCACACCAGGCAGCTCTCCCCGGTGTCCCCGTGCTGGGGTGGCTGTCCCCAGTGTCCCCACACCAGGCAGCTCTCCCCAGTGTCTCCATGCTGGGGTGGTTGTCCCTACAGCCTCGCCTGTGCCTGGACAGGGGCTGGTGTTGGCCCCAGGCTCCTGCGCGTGCTGTGGGTTCAGGAGGGCAGGAATCCGAGAGGCCCTTTCCGCAGGTCGCTGAGGCTGGGTGCAGCATGCGGACGGGGTTCGGGAGGGAGGGCGGACAGCCCAAGGGCTGGGTCGGACCGTGCTAAGCTGCCATTGCATTTGAGTGTTCATGGCCTCCGAAAGAGATGCTGACCTCTAACTGAACTTATCCTTGCTTAATCTTTTCTTTTTTTCCCGCTCTGCTGCTTTTTTGTGTTCTCAGAGGAAGGAGGAATGCACGAACGAGAAACCAGGTATTTACTGGAGGCCCGTCTATGAGACGGAGTAAATTCACCAGAGATGCACCCGTACTCTGCTGGGAAAAACAGCCACACAGAGCCCCTAAGGAGGAGAAATGTCCCCTTGGGCAGCGAGACACGGCTCGCCTTCCCTGAGCTCCTTCCGTGGGGGGCCTGGGGAGAAGCAGCTTTGAACCAAAAGGAAAAACTCCTCCCAGGCTCAGATACAGGCAGTTCATTACACTCTGGTGTTTCGGTTGGTTTTAAGCACCTGCTGACAGCGGCTCTTTCTTTAGGTGGAAATATTGTTGTAAGCTCCGTTACTGGAAGCTTGTTTCGTCAGACAGGTATCGCACAAGTTTTATTTTGGCTCAGCATTGCCCCTTAGGAACGGGATAGCTGTGATGCCGTAGCACAGTCCCGTCTCAACCAGCTAGCGAGCAGCAGGCTTTCACACACTTCAGGGAAAGCTTTTTGTGTGCATAATTGGCTGCACATAGTGTATTCAGCACTCCTCAGTAGCTTGGTGTGCGTAACGCCTCCTTTTCTTGCCTGTCTTCTTACTAAACTCAGTGGCACTAATTTTCAGCTCTCTGTTTGTGCTATCTTCAATGCATTTTCCCTGCTTTGGTATCAATAAACCAGTAATTTTTTTTTACTTTTTCCTTTCATGAAGGATTCTGGACAGGCTATTCCGCTTGTAGTAGAAAGCTGCATTCGTTACATCAATTTGTACGGTAAGTTGGTTCACTAACATCAACAGAAACTTTCTGCGAGGGGAATCGGGTGCGTGCAGTGAGCAGGGATGTCCAGCAGAGACGCCCGTAGCCCTCGCTGCACGGCTCAGGTGTGAGTACGATGGCTTTGTGCTGTAATTGCAGCACGGGATGAGCGACAGATATTTAGGTCTTGGTAGCACTTAGATTAAATTGCCGATTCCTCGTTTCTGCTGTTCTTTCCCAGAAAGTGCCGTGTGACAGTTACGCAAACCTTTCCTAAAACCCTTCTTTTCCAGGCCTCCAGCAGCAGGGCATTTTCAGAGTCCCTGGCTCCCAGGTGGAAGTCAACGACATCAAGAACTCGTTTGAGAGAGGTATAGAGATCCTCGGTGGGAGTTCCCGTGTGGGCTGGGGGCATTAGGCGTTGTGTAAAGCCTGTGTAAAAGCTAAAGGCCTTTCTGCTACGAGAAACGAGGAGGTTTTATCCCTTCTGGGCAGCTCAGTGTTGTATCTCGAGCAGTAAGGACAGAAGGTGAGAAGCAGGAGTAGGTGCAGAGATCCCTTCCGCAGCCAGGAATGGGGAGCAGGAGAGCCTCGACGGGAGCTGTAACACAGTCTGGTGGGGATCCATTGTCAGGGAGCTCCCAGCAGTTCCCAGGATGCTGAGAAAGTGTCAGAAAAGGTTGGCACATTATTTCTGTGCTTTTGAGCGTTAGTTTAGTGGTCCGGCAGTATTCACATGAAATAATGACCCCGTTGTGGCGGGGGGAGTGCTGCAATCCCTCGGGGTTTGCGTGGGTTTCCCTCCATCCTGCGGCAGTTCCTCAAGGGAGGAGCAGCGTCGCCCCGTGTGCCCGGTGGCAGTGGCCAGGGATGATGTTTGATTTCTGATGGTGAGTTGTTACACATGGAAGGTGTAAGGCTGGCAAGGCAGGGCAGAGCCATCCTGCTGTCGCCGGGATGCTCTGAATGCGGGTGGTGGCCTCGGTGGCGTTCACCCTGAGCAGCACCAGAGGGATCAGGTTTGAACGTGGCCACGCCGATGGATAAGGCAGTGGTGGGATTGCGAAAGGCTGGAGGATTTGCACATCCAATCTAAGAGGAATCAGTGTCCAAATCCCTGAGGTTTTGAAAGCCTTTTATAGATCTAAGTCGGTACAATGCTATCCAGAACCGTTCGGTCTGTTCCAGAGGCATAATTGCATCTTCCAGCTGAGCCTGTCTTCTCAGGCTTTCACCCCCCATCACTCAGATCTGCTCAGCTCTCTGAGCTGTTGCCTTCAATGCAAAAGTGCGCTGGGCTGGAAGGTGAAGGAGAACCAATTGATAACATCCTCTTCTTCCAGAAAGGTTTAAAATCTCCAGAGTAAGCTGGGTTGTGTAGGGAGGGCTGTAGCACGTCTCAGCAGGATGCTGTGAACAGCGTACCTTGCTAAACCCTCCTCCTGCGTGGCATTGCCACTGACACACTGGGGGGTTTTCTGAGCTGTGGGAAATCTTGGGTTTTTCCCCTGAGTTAGGAAAAAACACTTTGTGTGTTAGTTCACCTTGACAGTAACGCTGGGAATCAAACCTCTTCTCTGGGCAGGTGAAGATCCCCTGGCTGACGATCAGAACGAACGCGACATCAATTCAGTGGCTGGAGTCTTGAAGCTGTATTTCCGAGGACTGGAAAACCCTCTCTTTCCTAAGGAAAGGTTTCAAGATTTGATATCTACTATAAGTAAGTACATGTTGACAGCTCTTCTTGGAGAAGAGGGTGGGACAACAGAAGCAATAAACGGGGGACAAGTACACCTGAGATTTGCAAATAGCAGCTTGTGCTGTAAGAAGGGCTGCGGGTCTGCGATGGAAGTTGTTGGGAAAAGACATTGAGAGTGGCAGCACATTGGGAGTGCTGGAGGCGAGAGAGAGGTGAAACATCTTGCTGTGGTTCTTCTAAATGGTTCCTAGCAGCATGAGGATCACACGAGAGTCCTCTCCAAGCCTTTGCCGGCGGGCTGCCCACGCAGCAAGCCCCTGTACATGTCTGCGGGTTGCATGAGGGTCACCGAGCAGGGTCGGCTGCCGTCCTGCCTCCAGGTCTCGGTGGGTAACAGTGGTTCCTGGGCTGCCCGGCACGTGTCCTGCACCCGTGGCTCCTGTGACCCAAAGGGGTTTGGCTGCTTTAGCTCAGTGTCTTCTATAAGCATAAAGAGAGATCAGTAACTCTCGGCTGCTCAGGAAGCTGCTCCGACCCTTGACTCTGCAGACTTGATTTCAGCCTCGCTCCATCAGCTGCTCTCCAGGTGTTCGCTGTGTGCGTTTCCCGTCCCACAGAAAACCAGAAAGTGCTTTGGGATGGGAGCAGAGGCAGAAGCTGAGGGGTTTCAATCATCAAGGGTTGGGATTGATGTCAGGGAGAGCCTGGCTGCTTCATGTTCTGTCCTGAATTCTCCTCCCAGCTCCTCTCGTTCCTCTGCAACTGAAGAAACAGATATCCCAGCTGGGGCTCGCATCTCAGTACCTTGTAGTGGTGACATCTAGTTATTGGCAAGTCGTGGGAATGACTCCCCTTGGGGAAAGGAAGAAGACAGAATGAATTTGATGTTTCAGGGATGATGGAGCATGTTGCACGCTTTGGCTACAGGATGACTTCACTCTACAGGAGACGTGTCGGGGTTGAGAGCAGCCCTGAGGAGAAGGACTTGGGGGTGTTGGTGGATGAAGAACTGAACATGAGCTGGCAGCATGCAGAGGGGGGGGTTTGGCAGGGAGGTGCTTCTGGAGTACGTTCTAGCTCGCTTCTTGGGTCTAGATCTGGTTCTACAGCGCCATTTCTAACTCCTTGATGGATCTAGATCAGGTTCTAGAGCGCTCTCTGGTTCTAGAACAAGTTCCTGAACTATTTTACAGATCACTTTATAGTTCCAGATGGCATTCTAGAGCTCATGCTAGATGCTTTGTGGTTCTAGATCAGGGTCTAGATCTAATTGTAGAGCTCATTGTAGATCATGTGATGGATCTAGATCTCATGCTAGGTCTCATGCTAGATCACTTTATGACTCTAGTGCCATATTGACTCAAGCTTTTGAGAAACAGAGCAGTTGTTGAGGAATTAACTAAAAAATGCCTAAGCAGTTATTTTAAAAATAAAACCGTGGAAATGTCTTTATTTGCTGTTTATACTGAATCTGAACATACGCATGAATTCACCCATGGTAGAGCGCTGTGCCCAGTTCTCTGCTTGCAGCTCAGTGCCAAACCAGTGGATCCAGTCTGGAGACAGGCCCTTGTTTTCCTGCACAGTGGGCTGCTAGATAAGCCCCCCTGGTGCCGTGTTGTCTGGTCCTGAGCAGGTTTAAAGAAGTGCTTTCTGTCTGTGTGTTCCAGAAATCGAGAACCCCACCGAGAGAGTGCACCAGATCCAGCAAATCATCGTCACTCTGCCGCGGGCTGTCATCGTCGTCATGAGGTATCTTTTTGCTTTCCTCAATCAGTGAGTCTTTTCATCTTTCACGAGTTTCTCCTCGCCCTCCTTCTTTTCAGGGCTTCCCTGGCTTTGTTGCTGGAGTCCTTTTTGGGATTCCCATGGAGAGCTGTGTTTTGTTTCTTCCTCAGCCTTGCCCAGCCCCGGCTGTGTGTTGGGGAGCTGTGCAGCCCAGCGATGCTGCTTGGGCGGGGGGGGGGGGTGGCGGGGGGGGGGGTTGTCGGTGGGAGGTTTTTCTGAGCAAACGGGGAAGGTCGGCACCGCGCCTCCGTAACGCTACCTGTGCTTGCAGCTTGTCGCAGTACAGCGATGAGAACATGATGGATCCCTACAACCTGGCCATCTGCTTCGGCCCCACGCTGATGCACATTCCGGATGGGCAGGATCCGGTCTCCTGCCAAGCCCACGTCAATGAGGTCATCAAAACCATCATCATCAACCACGAGGGCATCTTCCCCAGCCACCGCGAGCTGGAGGGACCTGTCTATGAGAAGTGCATGACCGGAGGGGAGGAGTACTGGTGAGAGCGGGGCAGGGCTCCTTTGCGGGCAGACCCCAAAGCCAGATCCCCTCGCTGGGGCTGTCCTCGGGCACTGGACGGCACGAGCGACCCTGTGACAAACGCGGAGCTCTGGCCTGATCCCTGGCAGGCAGAGCTGACCCCAGCTGACGTGAGTGCAGGAGAAGGGATCTCAGGAGCAGATCCCGAGAGGATGGGGTGTGAGGAGAGCGTTGGGGAAGTTCAGACTTAATATTCCAGGCAGGCGAGCGCAGCGCTGGGGTGAATGTGCTCGCCTGCAGGAGAGGCACGCCTTCGTGCCTTCATCCCTGTGAGACACTGGGAGCTGGGTGTGCAGGTGATATGTATTTGATATGCTTGGGCTGCCTTACGCTGGTTAAGAATCTTACTCCATACCAGGCTGTCTGCTTGGTTCTTAGTTATAACACCTCCATGAAGCTCAGAGGATTTTACCCACCCACCCAGTGACTCTACGTGGGTACATCAGCTCTGCTTCTGATCGCAGCCTCGCTGGTTAAAGCAGAGTAGGCAGTTTCACTATTTCTTTTCCTCATGCTGACTCAGCACTGTAAACCTTGGTAAAAACTTCAGGAGAAACTTTTTTCCCAATATGAATATTAATATTTGTGAAGATTCTTTTAGCTGCAAATTCACAAAAGTGTGTTCAGAGCAAAACAGAATTTTAGGTCAATTTGAACCAAATTCCTCCTGGGCTGGAATTTTTGAGTCAAGTCCCATCATAATGTGCCATTTGGGTGAAATCCCTCAGCCCAGAGTTAGCCTGAACCTTCCAGTTCCCTTTGCTTCGTCAGTGTCAGAACACAGGTGAGTTGGCGTTAGCCGTGGAGGGGACCGGCTGCGTGCGATTGCGCTGCGTCGCGCAGGGCTCGCCCTGGGAGCTGATCTGGGTGCAGGTTCTGTGCAGCCCCGAGACCTCATCTCCCCTGGCGCTGGTCGCCTGCCGCCGGCCTCACTGATGCAAGTGGAGGATGAAATGCTGAAACTTGAGCAAGCGGAACATTTTAACTTGGTCTCACTTTGTATTTGTTTTGGCAAATACGAGTAAGACACGTGAGCAGGAGAAGGTGAGGTGCTGGTTTAAAAGGACCATCTTAGTCCTAGGAAAGCTATAAACATAACTCCTTCGAGTAGCACTGGGGCCAGGATTTCCCTCAACAATTTGCTTTTGCTGAGTGCCTTTGGAAGAGAACCCGGTTCTTCCTCTGACAGCACGGTGTGTTTTATTCCAGTGACAGCCCGCACAGCGAGCCGGGCACCATCGACGAGGTTGACCACGACAACGGCACGGAGCCGCACACCAGCGACGACGGTGAGCACAGGCGTGAGCAGCAGCAGGGCAGGGATGTGTCAGCAGAGCCATGGCGGCCGGAGAGCAGCGTGCTCTGCACCGCGCATCAGAGCAGAGCCCGGGCTGGTGTCAGCCAGGTGTAAATCCCTCGCAGCCGGTGCATTGCCTGGGTTTCGTAAGGCTCTGGAGGAGGCTCAGCTCCAGATTCCTGTGAGCACGTGCTCACAGCGATTGCAGAGGGGAGCGTGGAGATGAGGGTGCTGGCAGAGCTGGGCGAGAGGCGTGTGGGCCCCGGGACCTGGTCCCACAGCAGGAGGGAGCACGGTGCTTCCCGCGCCCGGAGGCGTCGGCAGCTCGGCCACGGGGTGAGTCCAGGAACCCGCTGGCACGGCAGAGAGGGGGGAACGTGCCACCCCAGACACCGGTCCGTGGCAGGACTTCGCTGCGGGGAAGGGCACTGGGCAGCCCAGTACCTCGTCCGCTTTCCTGACGGCTGCGGTTTCCCTGGGCGCGTCCAGCCCCGATAAAACACCGACGCCTTCCGAGGGTGCCGGGAGGGCTCGGCGGGAGGAGGGGAAGGGCACAGCTGGGCCGGCAGCTCCTGCCCTGCTTCGGCTACAAAGAGGAGCCGACAGGATGAGAACATGAAGGAGAGCAAGCTGCCGTTTAGCCAATTTAGTGCTTGAGTGCTCACATTAATGTCTCTGATTGGAGTTTCTGGGTGATTAACTGTGGTGCCAGCATGGGGAAGGGCAGCAGCTTTATTTGGTGAATTTACATTATTCCTGCTTCCCCTCTCCCTTGCCACACACCCCCTCTCTGCTGGGAAGCTGTTTTATCAGGGCTAGGAGCCCTCCTGGTTGCCTCCCCAGCTGTATTTCTTCATGAGCATTCCCCGTTGATCCTGCTGGAGCTCTCCCAGTGCCCTGCACTCCTACCGGTGCAGACGGGTGCTTTAAGCTGGGGGGAAGCCGTCTGCTGCGGCAGCCGTC